TTTACTCTCTTAAAAAACTATAATATCTAGAAACTTGAGTCTATAGTTTTGCAAGTAATTATTGTTATTTATTGTTCTAGGCAGCATATTTTATTTTATTTTTTATCTTTATTATTAAAAGTATTACAAATGCCCCCTTTTTCCCCCTATTGTCCCTCACCCTCCCCAGGCTTTCACTGCATTATTGTCTACCCCTGGTTATGGATATCTATATATATAAAAGCCTAAGTGACTAGTCAACCACTTGACTGCTTGACCTATTGACCAGTCTCTATGATGCTCACCAACCACCAGGGGGAAGACACTCAATGCAGCAGCTGCCCTCAATGGTCAGTGTGTTCCTACAGACAACCTCTTGCAGACAGCCAACTTCCCTCAGTCTTTCCCCCTAGCCAACTGTGGTCCCTTCCAACCCCACCCCTACTGACCAACCTTCTGTGGCCCCTCCCCCTGGTCAGCCAGCCCTGATTGGCCCTGATCGCTGGCCAAGCCAAGGGACCCCACCTGTGCACAAATTTGTGTACCAGGACTCTCGTATACAAATAAGTTCTATGTTTAATCTCTTCCTGTTCACCCCCTTCCCTCTGAAATTCATCAGTTTTTTGCATTAAATCAAGAGAATATAATCAATTATTTCATTAGGGTAAATGAAATGTGAGAATTACATATTCTAAAGTGTTTCAGAATATTTTCTGCATAAATATTCAGAAAACTCACAACACATGATTTATTTAAAAAAAAAAAAAAATACCACACAGCCTCAAAGCATAAAGAATTATTTCAAAAAAGGGTAGGTTCTCACTTCATTGATGCATCATCAAGCATCTTTTCAGTAAAACAACAGAATAGCTTTCCTTCAATGGCTTAATGATGAGCTCCTCTAGAGAAAACAGGGGAGGCTGGTACAAAATCTGTGTTTCTAAATGTGTTCCCATTGCTCAAAACAGCCTCCCCCAGTTTTTTTAAAAAGTAAAAAATATACTAATTACTCATTATACTCTCAAGTTCAGAAAAAGCAACCTAAGAAATTTAATAGGAAGTCATGGGGAAAACACTAAAGAGTAGAAGTCCAAAAACTGCTAATGGATCTCAGGAGAGGCAGAAAAGAGCAAGTCCATTACCCTCTATCAGGCATGGGCTAATTCGGGGTTTATACAGCTCAAGTCCTCAGAAGTGTGGTAAAAACCTGGATGAGTTGTGTGGATTCTAGTAAAGGACATTTAGGGGGACCTCAAAAGAGTGATTTTTCAACCATTTTTATGATATTACTAGTGGCCCAGTGCACAAAATTTGTGCACGGGGAAGGGTGCCCCTGAACCTGGCCTGCACCCTCTCCAATATAGGACTCTTTAGGGGATGTCCAACTGCCGGTTTAGGCCCAATCCAGGACCACTGGCTCCTACCTCTCACCTGCCTGCCTGATTGCCCTTAACCACTTCTGCTTGCCAGCCTAATCACCCCTAACTACTACCCTGCTGACTTGATTGCCCCTAACCACCTCTGCCTCGGTCCGCACTTGGGACCCAGGATTCACTCCTCCAGCCAGCTGTAGGCACCCGGGACACCAGCTTTTCTCCCTCTGACCAGCCACGGGTCTGGGACCTGGGCCAGCTTTGCCTGGGCTGGCTATAACCACAGGGGATGGTGGGCAGTTGGCTTTGTCCGGGCCGCAGGTTCTGGGGCCTAGGACTGCAGGGCAGGTGGCTTCTTCAGCTAGCTGCAGCCTGGGACCGTGGGGCAAGCAGCTTCTTTGTCTCCCGGGCCACAGCCAGTCGCAGCGCTGGTGCCCAGGACCGCCGGCAGGTGGCTTTACCCAGACCCAGCTTTGTCAGGAAGGACATGCAGATGGTCAGTCAGAAGACATGTGGTCTAATTAGCATAGTATATTTATATACTAGTATAGATGATGGTGTGGTTTTTTTTGCCATCATTAACCATAGTTGCTTATGTAGTAAAGTGCTATTCCTGCTAAGTCTAGAAGCAGCCTCAGAGTCCTTCTCACCATTCACCTTAAGTCTGATGCTTAGTTGATCAGCATTAATACCTTAGGTGAGGCCTCTTACTGCAGATGTATCCCAGAATGCCTGGCATCCTCTCTGCTTTATGATCCAGCTAATAATACATTGCCTCAATCACACTGATTGAGTCATTTTTCCCCTTGCAGTTTCTAGTAGTAGATTACCATCTACTGCCTGGGAAGCAAAATTGACTATGTCCATGTAGATTGCAAAATAAGATATTTTTCTCATCAATAAAATTTCATTCTTTCAGCATGAGTTGAATAATTTTGTCAACAACGTATTGAGGTAGTAACAGTTTATAACAAATTGAGAGAATGATTGTGTCAGGTACTGTTCTGTGTCATACGTAGATTTCATTTTATCTTTGCAACAACTCTGCACCGATGAGAACACTGAGGTACAGAGAGATCAGGTAACTTGACCAGTGAAACCTAAAAGTGGCTGAGTCTCATTTCAAATCCATGAGCCAAGCCCTTTAACCATTATACTCCACTCAGCATTGTGCTGGAGCCTGCTCTGACTGGCTCACAAATTTTCAGGAATTTTGCAGGCTGGTTGTTAAACTTGGTCATTATTACAAATTAAATTATATAATCTTAAAAGTGAATAAATCACATTAAAACCAAAGGTAATACATACTCTGAATTCATCACTCCTCAATTATTTACTACACTTTACTGTTCTGACTCTTGACATTATGTCTTTTGGGTCTTTCTGGTGGAATATAATAGTGTATTACTGCACGTTTCTCCTCACCTCTGCATCTAGTGGCATCACATTAGCAACCGAAATCAGCCATGGATGGAGAATTTGTGCCACAGAAATTGGCCAATACTATAAATATGGGTTTTGTTTTCTTTGATTGAGAGCCAGTTGTTAAACATTTATCAGCATAACACTGACCACATTGGTGGTTGTGGTCTTGTCAGAATGAGTTATATTAAGCAGATGAAAATATATTTAAACAGGCTTGATATAGATTTTTCAAAGATGGAAGAATTGTCCCTGTCAATTACTTTAGTTGATTCATATCTTCACTGAATGTCATCATTGTAAAATTTTCAGTCCCCACATAGATTGCTGGATATAATATGTCTTGCCCTGTCCCTGCCCACTCCGTTTCTAGCCTTTGTTATCTTAAGGATATCTTTGTTATCTAGTTTTCCATTTATATGTTTAAGTACCAACCTTACCTGCTCAAAAATGTAAGCTTTTAACACTGCTCTCTCTGTTCGAGATGAACAGTGGAGTTGGGTTGGGGCAGCAGAGAGAAATTCAGAAGGGGAATATTGGAGTAATGACTGCAGTGGGAGAAGAGGGGACCTATCTCCCAGGCCGCAGGCACTGTTGCCCGGGACTACAGGGCAGGAAGCTTCTTCATCTCCCCCGGCTGAAGCCAGTCGCAGGTGCTGGCACCCGAGACCTCTGCCAGGTGGCTTCACCTGGCTGGCTTTGTCAGGAAGGACATCGAATGGTCATCCACAAGGTCTCCCAGTCTAATTTGCATACTACTCTTTTATTAGTATAGATTTGCTACTTGAATTTTATTATTAAATCCGTAATACTATTGCTCTATCCAACAGAGGATGTAAAAAATACTAATTATAATCACAAAGGAAATGATTGATAAATTGACCTTCACTAAAATTAAGAACATATATTCATCAAAACTCACCCTTAAGATTGGCAAGAAAGTCTACAATATTGGAGAAGTTGTTTTTAATATGTATGTTTTATAAAGAGCTTGTATCCTATACACATACATATGTATGTATACAGATATAGATACTGGATCTATACATTTATATAACTCTACAATTAATAAGAGGAAAACAGAAATATGAGCAAGAAATAAAAACTGACAATTTACAAAAGGGAATACCAAAATAGCCACTAAACATGAAAATATGTTCAACTTCCCTAATATGAAGAAAATTAAAGCTACAATAATAAACACAGGATAGTTAAAATCCACAAGGTGACCATCCAAGTGATGATAAGAATATGGATCAGCTATAACTCAATTACTAGTATACTGCTAGCAAAAAGTGAAATCGAAATATCATTTTGGAAAACTGGCAATAGCTACTAAATTAATCATATTCATACTCACAGAATAACTCAACTCCTCACAATAGAAGCACATGTACTTCAGTCCATGAGACACATACAAGGTTGTCTTAGCAGTATTATTAATAATTACCAAAAACTGGGAGGGGGTGGCCATCTATAGAAAAAAGAATAACTGAATTGTGAATATTTGTTTAATAGAATATTAAAGCAATAAAAAGTTAATAAACTTTAGCATGAATGCTATCTCCAAAACATAATATTGAGCAAAACCAATTAGACACAAAAGGATATATACAGTATGGCCCACTAATATGAAAATTAAAATCAAGTAAAAGTAATTTTGTTAAACATCAGAATTATAGTTACTATTAGTGGAGGAAAGAAAGTAATGACTGATAGGACTTCAGACAATGTAAATAATGTTCTTTTTCTTTAATTGGTGGTATTTGAATGCGCATGTTCACTCTGTGATCATTCACTGAGTTATATATGCTTAAAACTTGTGATTTTTATGTATTGTTTCTTTTTTTATAATTTATCATTTATGTTTTTATGAAATACATTAAAATTAAACTATAAGTAATAAGAAGTCAAATTATTCAATATTCAGTAGTATGAGGAAACTGAGGTTCAAAATAGTTAAAGTCATCTATCTATTGGTAAGCAGAGTCGGATGTTAATCTCATGTCAAGTTAATGCTGTTAACATCATGCTATTTTCAGACCAAGGGAAATGCATATTTCTAATATAGTGCTGCTAGATTGAATAATTACCAAATAACGCTCCTATGGTTTCACCAAATCATAACCCCCCCGAAACAAAAGAATTGTCTGTTGAATGAATGATTGCTATTGAATATAATAAATCTATATTTCTCACTAATTTAATGTAATTTTGTTCCTAAAGGTAGTGAGAAGAATTTTGGACAACAGTTTCTTCATTTATTTCTTGTGGAAGGAAGGCCCACAGTTACATATGGATGTAGAAGTTCCTCAAATAGCTTGACTCTCTCTGCTAATTATAGAACTAACACAAATGCATTCATCCCCAGCACCATACGGTAAGTGCTCCACAGTTTTTCCTTGAACTATAGTGCTGAGCCTTATTTTTTAAGTGTTATTTATATGTATAATAGTCACCCAAATACAGAAAGACAAAAAGTTTCATCTGAAATCGTTTTGGTAATCCTTTTTTTTTTTTTTTTTTTTTTTTTCCAGTTTGGTGGAGGACTAGTGGGCATCTAATCATGTCTAAAGGGTTGTGGAAAGTTGGTCCTTTCCAAAACATATATAGTTCATATAAACCCCCTTTTCTACATGTCCTTAACCCCAACCCATCTCCCTAACTCATGTGCCATTATCAGGTACCTTTTATTGAGGCAATAAGGGGTATTATTGACAGTATAGCCATGATATAGGTATTTGACTAATAAAACATGGTACTATTTTTTAATATATTAGTCCTATGAACCACAAGTGTACATAAATATTATGGGATATTTGAATCAAGGACCACTTGGCCTGGACCACATGTCTCATCTCAGTGGATGTTTTAAACAAGATCAAATGTCCTGCAAGGTTTTGGAGAAAATGCCCTAGCCCCGTGGTCTGCAAGCTACGGCTCACAAGCCACATGTGGCTCTTTGGCCCCTTGAGTGTGGCTATTCCACAAAATACCACGGCCTGGGCGAGTCTATCTTGAAGAAGTGGCATTAGAAGAAGTTTAAGTTTTAAAAATTTGGTTCTCAAAAGAAATTTCAATTGTTGTACTGTTGATATCTGGCTCTGTTGACTAATGAGTTTGCTGACCACTGCACTAGCAGGTTTGGCTCAGTGGGTAGCGGAGTAAATGGCCTCTCGATTCCAATAATTACAGGCTGTCGTTGTTCCTTGTGATTAAGCCCTAGACAGTTTGGTTCAGTGGGTAGTGGAGTAAACTACAAGTTAAAGTAAGATTTAATTTGATACAATCAAATTGCACACAAAGGAATCAATTGTTTTGAGAATATAATGGAACAAATAAATAAAAAGTCTGGTTGTTCAGGTAAAGCTGAGGTATAGTTCAGTTGTTTAACAAAATATCTATTGAGTGAAAGGTGTACAGCTGTTAGGAATTGAGAGCGGGAGCATTGACTGCACAGAAAAGGGGAAAACTGAATATTAAATGGAAATATCTTTCTGGAACAAATAAAGTTTTGGAAGTCAATCTTAAAATCAATTCATGCCTCAGTATAAGAAAATCTCAGGAGAGAGAAATGGCTAAAAGCAATGGTTATATCCCAAGGGCATTACTGAACAAAATTTTTACCTACCAACCAAGAATTTAAAATTCTTCATTAGTGTAGCAATCTAGCAATTATGGTCTAAAGTTACTCTCAGTTAAAAATAACATTTTGTGTCTGAGTTTGCACACTATAACGACAGTTGGATAAGTTAGTCTGATCAGCAGGAATCTTGGCTAACCTATGAAGTCTGTATAAATCAAATAAACTTCCAGGGTCTGCATCAATCTGAAAAATGAAATCAAAGGAATTGACACAAATCTGAAAACAGGAACTTCTTATAAAGGCAGGGAGAGAATTTTACTCATTTTAATGTACTTAGCCAAGGTATCAGATGGAAAGTTGCTCAGTAAGTGTCTGAATAAAGAGATGAGGTATCAAGGGTAAGCACTTCAGTTGATTATGACTAGACAGTGATGAAATTACCCTAAAGTAAAGAAATTTTTATTCATAAATTAAGCATACACTTTTGGAACACTGAGTTGTGTATAGATAAAACAAATTTCCAGAGCAATGGGCTTACTCCAATTTCAATCATCTCTCTTACAAAGGTTAGAAGTTGATTCCCACAAAAAAAGAGGCAAATGAAAAGTTGAATTTAAAAGAGATTTAAAAGAGATTTCTATTGATAATGAAAACAATTTAAAAGAGATTTCTATTGATAATGTCATCCTTTTAAATAATACAATCATTTTAAACAAACAATGGCACATATTTAAAATAAAATTAGGAGTAACCCATAGACACAGACAATAGTGTGGTGAAGGCCCGGGGGTGGGAGGGAGCATGTAGAGAGGATCAGTGGAGGTATAAGGGGACATCTGTAATTCTTTCAACAATAAAAGATAAATTTTAAAAATTAGGAGTAAAATTATGACTGATTAATACCAGCAGTGAAAAGAGAGGTGTCAAAAATGAATACTTATTTCCTGCTGTGCAACGTATAAAAGATTTTATTGATGAGATAACAAGCAATGAAAGAATATTTGATAGAGAAGATTGTGAGTTCAGGCTTGAGCATAATGAGATTAAGGTGCCTGTGAAACATAAAGTGGAGTTTGCAAGTTGAATATATGGATATGGACCTCAGAGAAGAGGTCTAGATAGGAGATATAAATCAGTGTGCAGATGGTAATTGAAACCACAAGTATGGATGAAAGTGTAGAGTGAGTAGAAAAAAAATTGCCCAGACTGAGTCTTGAGGAGCCAGCATTTAATGACTGAGTAGAGGAAGATGAAACTATAAAAGGGTCTGAGGAGTAACTAGAGCAGTAAGAGGCAAACAAAAGGAGTGGGGTGTCTGGGAAAGGAATGGAAAGGTTTATCAGATGCTCTGATAGTCCATTGGACTATCCACAAGATTCCATCACCTGAAGAATTCATTGTGTGGGGATAGAGTAAGAAACCAGATTAGAGAAACTTGAAATAACAAGAGTGGACCACTCTTTCAAAAAGTGTTACCATGAAGGTGTAAAAAGATGTAAGATGGTAACTAGAAGGAGGTGATGAGTTAAGAGGGAAAAAATGTAAGATGACTAAGATTTAAGCATGTTTAATTGTCAATCAGAAGGTGTTGATGCATAGAAAAATAGAGTAATTGAGGACCTAAGTCTCTTAGAAGTTGGAGCAACCTACAATATACATGAGAAAATATTCCTTCCAGAGGATAGGAAATGGAGAAAGACACACATATTGAGACTTCTGTCTTTGTGTACATCCTTTGATGTCTGACTGCCTTTTGCTTTATCCCTATCTGTCCAGTTGTTATGTCACCTTCTCCCTCTCTGCCTTGTGTACTCCACTCTTACTTCTCCATCCCTAACTGGGCATAGTTTAAAATTAAAGGGTCTTTTTGTACAGCTCATCCTAGCTATCCTAATTCTCAGTAACAGGACTCTTTACATACAAATTCATAATAAATTTTACCCTAAAAAGCATGTGAATTAGGTTATTTTTAGTTGTATGAATGGTGATGGCATATCTCTTATATTTAAGGGTTCTAACAATAAAATATTACTACCTGGTTAAGAACTTATCTTTTGAATTAATAAAATGAGCTCTAAGGTAAACATGTAAAAGATGCTTTGAATTTTATTTTGTTATTAGCCCCAGAGAATAAGCATGTCAATATTTCTTCATACTAAATCTGCATTGTAGCTGTAGGATAGAAACAGAAGTAGAACAAACTCAAATAAGCCACTTGTAGTGATTGAGGTCAATTCAGTACCAAGATAGAAGTTCTTCTCAAATGAAATGGAGCAGAGATCACAGTTCTACAGACACATTATAATTCATACTCATGCACAGTTTGTCTTTCATTTTTAAAAATTTTGAAAGAGATCACATAGAGAGTCTTGGTTTTCACAAGGGTTATTCTCCTTTGGGGAAGTTCAGAAAATTTGTCACACTATATATAGTTTTAAAAGTTTCTCAAGTTTAAATTTTTTGGGTACCTTTTGTGACTGTCCTATAGAAATACTGTCTCTTTATCTATTATTTTGTTCACTAAAGAAGGCCTGTGTTCTTTCCTCTAGGTAATTTACTGTGTTATCTGCATGTTTAAAAGCCTATTCGACCTTCATTATATTCTACCACCCCAAACACTTGACACCATTTTCTCAAAGATTTATCCGGAGGTGTAAAGTTAGCCATGTATATATCTAAGGTACACTCTACCAGCTAATCATTAATTTTGATTAACAAGCTCTGGGTATCCAAAGCCAAGAGAATATTGGCTAAGAATTGCATGACTGCAGAACAACATGTCCCTATCAGCCCCTTGGTAATAGCAGGTCAGTGTAAAGAAATGCATGCTTGGTTTAAGACCAATCGAACAAGAGTTAGAAATGTTTCTAATACCGTGTTTCCCCAAAAATAAGACATCCTCCGAAAATAAGACCTAGGGCAACTTTGGGAGAAAAAATTAATATAAGACACTGTCTTATTTTAGGGGAAACAGGGTAATTGGGCAGCAGGAAGCCTGGCACCTGAGAAAACTCAAACAAAGTAGGTAAAACCATTGCAAGCATTTTTATCACATTACTTTCTTAGATATTTTCTCAGAAAACAAAGCAAACTGAAAAAAAAAGTTGCTGCTGGGTTTTGTAAATGGGCTCATTTCTACTTCCTGTTTTATCTTATTTATTACTTCCCACAGTTATTTGATGAAGCAAGTACATTAAAAATTTATTAGAATGCAAAACCAGTGTTAACCTCAAAATAATGGGAAATAAAAAAAGGATTCTGACGCTGAAACTGGTTTGGCTCAGTGGATAGCACATCGGCCTGTGGACTGAAAGGTCCCAGGTTCAATTCCAGTCAAGGGTTTTGGTTGTGGGCACATATTCAGTAGGAGGTGTGTAAGAGGCAGCTGATCAATGATTCTCTCTCATCGATATTTCTAACTCTCTATCCCTCTTTCTTCCTCTCTGAAAATAAATCAATAAAATATATATTTTTTTAAAAAGGATTCTGAGTAGGATTGATTTTGGGTGTATGAAATGAAGAGATTTACTAGTGGAAATTTTATTTTTTTTTAAAAAGGAACAAAATAAAACTTATAATAACCATATTTAATTTGTTAAAGACCTTTCAAACGACTCTCCTCAAAATCAGATTCTAGTGCTTTGTCATTTTCTCACTTTAATTCTTTGTATTACAACTTGCTGCATTGCTGGTATTGACTAATAACTCCACATAGAGAATGTGCAGGAGGCTTACCCAAGTTTATGTAAGAAGAATGTCCATAGTGTATTATCAACATAGCTTTGAGAATAATT